AGAAACTGTGGAAACTATACCTCCATCGTGCATTGCATGTACTGTATGATATACGAAATGAAGCAACAGTAAATCCAGTGATGATGTCGCATCAAAACTGTACATTCTGACAATAATTACTTATTTAAACTGTAGAAGCCTTCTGTTTCTCCGCTTTCTGTCCCATCTTTCAATGACTTCCATAAAGGAATCTCTTGGGCTTCCAACTGATTGAGTGGTGGGGTTTTTCTATTTTTTTTATTCACTTGCTAATTTTATTTTATTTGATGCGTATCATTCAATGGCTTAATCTTTTATTTTCTTAGTTTTTAATTGGTTGCCAACTGAAGTTAGTTTTTGTCATAGTAATTAAGATATACTTAAAGAAGTCAACTCATTGCTTCCATAATTGTTTCTTATATTCTTTATCTTTAATTTGTGGGTAGTTGGGTTTTGCAACTGTTAATTAGAATTTTAAACTTGATAAAAGTGGTATTACGTATTTCAAATTTATCCATAGCTGTATGACATCTCTTTTTACTTCCTGTTTTTCTTCGTCTTACCTAGTTACTGTAACGATGTAATTACACAAATTAATTAAAAGTGAAAAAAAAACCTATTTATGTGAATATTTTTGGTTTGAAGTAGGGGTGAGCATGGGACGGGTACTCGTATCATTAGTACTAATGGTTCGGGTACCCGATAACCAATATCACTAAAAGTGATATCCATAACCCGAACCGATAAGTTCGGGTATTCGGATTTTCGGAACGGTTATCGGGTACCCAATAAAGTATCCAATAGTGATAATAAAACTTAAAAAAATAGTTATTATGAAATTTTTTAACACTAATTAACAACAATACCACATGATCTTGACCAAATTATTAATAACATTACAAATTATTGATATTATATAGCGATTACGAAGTAATGTAAGAGTTTAAATATTGAAAAGATAGATTTAAGTAGGAAAAAAAACAAAATAATTGCTTATCGGAACGGAACGGGAAACCGTTAATTTTAAAATGATACCCAAAAACCATACCCGATAACAAATTATCGGAATGGGTACCCGAACCGTTATGATTATCGGATCGGGTACCCTAATTTTTGGAACGGTAACGGAACGGGTTTTCGGTTTTTCGGGTAGTTTTGCTCAGCCCTAGTTTGAACGACGAGAGAGATAAGAAATATGGATTTTATTTAATATAAGTGGGCCCCACAAAGTGAGTATATATATCAGAGGTTTTTCAGTACGGTAGGCCACACATATAGTGCGGCAGGGGTTACTTTTACGGTGTTACTGGTTTTTGTCAGAGATTACTTGTAGGTGTTACTTATATTTTAGGTTACTTGAGGTGTTACTTGTATTAAAAGTAACCCCTACAAGTAACTCAGACCAAATTCCCATACCAAAAAAGTAACACATTACAAATAACCCCTAACCAAAATCAGTAACACCCTACAAGTAACCCCAAATACAAGTAACACCTTTTTGTGGCTGGCCACATGGTGCGACGGGGGTTTACTTGTAGGATGTTACTTATATTCTGAGGTTACTTGTAGGGTGTTATATATATATATAAGGTTGGTATATTTCAATCAAGTAGAATATGTGTTAGATAAAATTGGGAGTCGGGATTTGATCCCAGGGAGACTATATTTCCTTAATTGGGGGTTAGAGGTGGATTTGGTGGATATTCGTTTTACCGGGCCACGCTTTACTTGGACTAATAATAGACTAGATTCAGATTTTATTTTTGAACGTCTATATAAAGCTTATGCTACTCGTTCTTGGAGTGAGGAACACCCTCATGATAAAGTTGTTCATCATCCTATACTCCAGTCGGATCATGCAACTATTATTTTATCTGATTCTTCTTCGGGAACATTGGGTGCAAAGCCCTACAAGATAGAAATTTGGTGTTTAAAGGCTCAGGATGTTCTTCTTTTTATCCGGGCAACTATGGAACAATATTTTGCTGAGGCTCCCATGTTTTCCTTATCCAGACGTCTCTTGGTAATTAGGGACTTCATGAAAAATTGGTGCATTTCGCACCAGAAAGCTTGGGGCGTCAATTGAAAAAGTCTAGCTATAGTAGTCGATTAGTTTGCCTCAAATTAAATTTTCCCGGTCAAGATTTCTTTTTCTTACTACCAGGGAGGAAAAATTGCAGAAGCTCAGGCCGCTTTTCTCTATTGGCGTCAGCGAGCAAAGGTTAAATGGGACGCCATTGGTTATACTCATTCTCGCTTGTTGTTCTCGTCGGTGCATCGTCGCAATATGATTCACAGTCTCATAACTGACGATGGGTTTTGGGTTTCTGAACCTGAGGGAATCCGGTCTTTGATTCTATCCTTTTATCAGGACCTCTACACAGGTGATTCGTCTTCGGTGGGCCTTGATTCTCCTTGGTGGGATGTACTTGATCTCCCTTGTATTTTTTCGGAGCAACAACAACAGCTTTAAGTCCCCTTTTCTTAGTTAGAGATAAAGCAAGCTATGTTTAGTTATGACGACAATAAAGCTCCTGGTCCGAACGGGTTTCCATCGGCCTTCTTTAAGACTTTTTGGTTGGAGGTTGGCTATTTTTTTGTTTTAGCGGTTCAATATTTATTTGCCCGTGGTCATATGCTCAAGGAATGGAATCACACTTTCCTTGTTTTGCTTCCTAAGATTGAATGTCCGAAGATGGTGTCACAATTTCTCCCTATATGATTGTGCAACGTGCTTTATAAGTGCCTTACTAAATGTCTCACCAGTCGTCTTCGGCTTGTTCTCCCATCCTTGATTTCAGGTTTTCAGAATGCCTTCGTTCTAGGTAGATTACTATTAGATAATGCTTTGATGGCCCATGAGGTTCTTTCCTTCATGAATGCTTCTATAGCTCGTAAGCATTTTTATGCTGATTTGAAGTTGGATATGAACAAAGCTTATGATAGAGTTGGATGGGATTTTTTGTTTAAAGTGTTACAGACATTTGGTTTCCTACATACTGGATTCATATCATTCGCCAATGTTTTGTCAACAGTCTCCTACCAGGTCTTAGTCAATGGTGATCCCTCGTAACCTTTCCATCCTCATTGTGATCTACATCAGGGGATCCTATTTCTTCCTACTTGTTTGTCCTTTGTATGGAGGTTCTTTCTACTATGCTTCGTAGAGCAGAAGCTCAGTCTATGTTCTAAGGCATTCATATTTCTAGAGGAGCTCCATCCATTTATCATCTATTCTTTGCAGATGACTCATTGTTGTTCTTTCAGGTTTCTCTAGAAGCTTGCGATCGAGTGCTTATCATTTTGTTTGATTTCTGTAATATGTTAGGCGAAATGATTAATTTAGAGAAGTCGTTTGTCAAGTATAGTCCAAATACTCCCTCTAACTATCGTGAGTATTTCGCCGGGTGCTAGAAGTTACGAAGTTAGGAGTCTTTTGGTTCTTATCCGGGTTTGCCGGTCGACTTAGGGCGACACATGGTCACTGAGTTTTTAGTTTATGGTGGATAAAGTTTCTCACCATCTTGCAGACTTGGGATCAATTCATCTGTCTACATCGGCTAAGTTTGTCGTCATTTATTCAATGTTGGTAGCTTCTTTTAATCATATTTTATCGACTTTTAAAGTTCCAACCTCAATTTGTCGTACCATTGACGGCATGTTGGCCCAATTATGGTGGAAGTCTTCTGAACCATCGCGGGGGATGGCTTTTTGCTCAGAGTCTTTGTTGCATCTCCCTAAGGGGATGAGAGGCTTGGGGCTTTGTAGTGTTGAGCATTTCAATTTTGCATTGTTAGCTTGTCAAAGTTGGCGCCTTTGACAACATCCTCAACTTCTTGTTTTCCAGCTTTTATCGGCTAAATATCCCCCCTCTTGTCGTTGCCTCCTTCCTGGAATGGTTGTAAACCTTGGGGGGGGGGGGGGTAAGGGGTTGGCTTTGGGGATGCATACGATAGTTAATTAAGGTATCGCGTGGAAAGTCGGTACAGGTTCTAAAGTGCGAATCTTAGAAGATATTTGGGCCTCGGGGGGCTCTGTTCGATTTAAGTTTGATGTTGGTGGGTCAGATGTCCTGGCTCATGTGTCTTTTATCATTAATCCACTTCTTACGTGTGGGAAATTCATTGGTTCATAAGTTTTTTGACCCTCCCACGACGTCTCGCATTTTGTCCGTGGAACGTCCTCAGCAGCTCATGGATGATTTTGTGTACTGGAAATTTATGTGGGATGGTAACTTTTCCTCTAAGACTGCTTACTCTTTTCTCGTTCGTTTCTCAGTGGAGAATATTGTTAGTCAGCCTACTTCAGATACTTGGTGGAAGAAGTTTTGGGGAATGCCTATTCTTTAGAAACTTAAGATCTTTAGTTGGAAGATTCTTCATGACGCTTTACCACTCTAAGCTTCTTTGAGTCAGAGGGGAGTTTTGGTCAGTTCCGTTTTTTTTAGAGAAGCTTCTAAATCGACTTCTCATCTCTTTTGGGATTGCTCGTTTACTCAGCATCTGTACACTTATAGGTTTCCGTTTTGGGACAGATTTTCCTGGTCGGCATAACCTTTTGAGTTATGGTTCCCTGATTTGGTTTCAGGGTTTGGTCAGCTTAAGCATTGGAGGGAGCTTCGTTCTTTTTTATGTTTCTTATGGGCTAACACGGATAGTGCTCTTATGGCTTCGCTCCTTCAGGATGGTCGGCTGACAGATGTTCCATGTTTATAATTATTGAGTGATGTCCATCGTCTTCTCGACCTTCAATTCTCACCGTTTGCAGAATCTCCAAAGCGCCTCGGGATTGGGTTCGGCCAGCCCATTAGCTTGCTAGGCGGGCGTGTGAGCGTAGAATTTTGTTTTGGTCCTCTTGATTTTCTTTTGGTTTGGGTTTGTTGTGTTTTGATTGGTAGTTACTATTGGTTATATATATATATATATATGTATATATATGGCATATTTTATTAAAGATGCTTAAGTTTTACCGATGGAGTTATTTATCAATTTTTGAAAGAATAAATGCAATATATGCTAACCAGTTATTAAGATTAAAAAACATCATACACATATACATATATTCTATATACAAAATTATCGTACGTAAGTGGTTGTATAAAACTGTTGGAGACCATGACAATTTCACCACTTTACATAAAAAATGGTCAACTATGGCACCAATTGTATAAAAGGCCCATCTTATTCATTCAAATGAACGAATAATCCTAAAATCATCTTTATTTCTCTAGCTTATATTATAGCCACCATTAGTTGATATACAAATTCTATTGAACCAAATGTGCATGATGATACTTCAAATATAAAAAATTGTATATATGATTATATATTAATTCATCAAAATAGTATCATCAAACATCACCTCTTAAACTTTTCTTGGTCCAAAGATAATGTTGTATGATCATTATTTTCTTCATTTGTAGGTGTGTTGTTGTTTGTTGCCCAATCAAATAGACCACTAAAAGAATCAAACCCTTTGCACCCTTGAGTACCAAATATCTCTAGAGGATCATCACTCTCGAACTCAACTAAATCGGCGAAAAAATCTTGATCACTTTGTTGGTCACGGCCATTACTAGTCTTTGGCTCGGGCAAGATAAGTGGACGATAACTTTCAATTATTTCGTCCACCTTGTTACTATCTAGCCGGTCATCGTAGAGTTTGGTCTCCTCTTCTTTGACCGTAGACAAAGTTGTCGCGGTGGTTGTTGAAGCATTTTCATTCTCTTCCTTGATGAGTATGTTACGAAATTTGTTGTTGCTTGGTTTTTGTGAGGGTGGTGATGATGCCTTGGAAGAGGTTTTCGAGGCTGGTTGAGATGACCTAGTCGAGCCTGCTAGAGCGTTTCTTTGGGTTGGCCAAGGATGATTGTGTTCGGATGTATATGTTATGACTAACATATTGGGATCTGTTCGACTTCGTTCTACTTGTTTTCTTGCTGAACATCCCTTTGAACTACTACATCTATAATAGCCTCTGTCAAAATTCCAACAAGAAATTCATGTCAAATAATGAATAATGCATATTGTTAAGATACGACTTGATTGCTAGGTAATTTAATTGGTTAAATTTTAAAGGGTGGTAAGTTGATAACCATAACTTAGGATTTAATTTATTTTATATCATCTAATTTGTCTTTCATGTCTTTCTAATTAAAGCATGCATATATACTTAGCTAACTAGTTAAGGTACTAAAAGTCAACCTATCAAATAGTTAATCACTTCGCATGCTAAGTACGCTTCATCTAGTTACTATTACTAAAACAAAATGTTGCTGACATCATCCTTTGTTCAAATTGTACACATGTTACTCTGACATAAATTTTTTTTTTTTCCGCCAATTTGCTATGATGATGTCATTAGTTTTTTTAAATTTTTTTTTTAAAAACTTTATACTTTGTCGTTACCAAGTCCTTTTTTACCGGTATATTTATATTTCAATGTTCAAAAGTGTTCATTACAAATTTTTTTAATTTTTATAATATAATTTATAAGTAATATGCTTACAATAGAACTTACTTACCATGTATACAAAAAAATTACAGAATATAAAACTTTATTTCTCAGTATTATAAATAAACCTTATAATGTGTTTTCTTTAAAACCCTGCATCGCACGAGAACTAAACTAGTATTTAACTACAATACAAATTGGAACATGTGATTTATTGTTTCACACACACAAAAAAAAAAAAAAAAAGGTGTGTTATTCAGTTTTTATTAGTCCCTCCGTTTCATAATGTTAGTCCCATATATACTATTTTGGGCGTTACAAAAAGTTCTACCCATATTGAATATATTTCATTTATGACTTGATTATTTTTGGAATTAATTTATTGTGGATTGATGACATGACTCTATTTAAGGAAATGTTTACCTTAAATTATGCAATTATCATTTGTGCTTTCCTAATGAAAAATAAAAAAAAGTTAAATGAGGTAAACTAATTATGAAATCTGTTGTATTTTAATGTTAGATTCCAAATATATTTGTTTTTTTTTTATTTTATATGATTAATTCCATATGGGACTAACATTATGAAACGGAGAGAATAGTTAGTTATTACTCCGTATTAAAAGGAAATGAAGAGTCATTAAAAAAAACTATAGAAGAATCATATTTTAATTTTTTTTTTAAAAGTAATGATACTAAAAAAAACAAAAAAAAAAGCTCCCTTAGCACTATAGAAATTTTGCTAAATTAGAGACAACATTATTCAACTAAAGCCCGTCAAAAAAAGCTAGGAACAAAAATTTCACGTGTGAATTCCTACTTTTAGGAGGGAAATAAAGCACTTTTTGCAAAGGTGTAGCTTGGACGTTTTAGAGGAGTGTATTTATTTTGCGCTTATAGTAAATCTTGTGGTTTTATTTATACTCTATATAATATCTGGTTTCATATTTAAAAACGACTGTTTCATATTAAGAGTAACAAATACTATTTTCTTTTTAAATTGTCTTTTTTCCTTTTTCTCTCTATTCATCACATTCATCTCTAAATTTCTTTGTCCATATTTAGGAGGCCATATAAAGACATTTGTTCAACATAATATGAAACATAAGTAGTAATTATCATCATCGCATTAAGAGCCTGTTCTCATTAACTGAACTCAACTGAACTGAACTGAACTGAACTGAATTGAGCTGAACCGAACTAAATATTTTATAAGAGAAGGAAATTAGGAGCTGAGCTGAACGGAACTGAACTGAGCTGAACTGAACTGAACTTAATTTCAACGTAAGAGAATATGCCCTAAGTATCTCCTCCATACACGAAAAATATTCTGCTCCGACCTGACCTAAATGTTCTCCCCGTTTAAAATTTATAAACTTTTCAAAACTTACGATAATTCTCTAAATTTTCAATACATACATACGAAAAACATGATTTGTTTGATTACTAACATGAAGGGCATGTTCTCTTACGTTGAAATTCAGTTCAGTTCAGTTCAGCTCCTAATTTCCTTCTCTTATAAAATATTCATTTCAGTTCAGGTTCAGCTCAATTCAGTTCAGTTCAGTTCAGCTGAGTTCAGCCAATGAGAACAGGCCCGAAATTAGAGATATAAAACTATACTTTAATAATATAAAACTTTTATACTACATCCGTTTCTTATTATGTGCAACAAAGGTGTATTATTCGAGAGACATAAATATTCCTTTGTTGCACATAATACAATTAATTAATGCTAGTATGCAATTAGAGATATTAACAATTTAAAATGTATATTAGACAAAAATAAATACATTTCAGTTAAAAATAATTTTAATTCAATTAAAATAATTTTAGCAAAGTAAAATTAGTAATTTTAAAGAAAAATATAATAGAAAATCAGTAAAATTATTTATAGTTCAGTAAAATTAATTTTATTTCTTTAAAAATAATTTTACTTCTGTAAAAGTAATTTCAGTTCAGCTACAATAAGGGTAAGAGAATAGGTTCTTACAATTTTTCTTGGAAAATTTTCTTTGGTGAACTCCAACATTTTAATTTTGTAAGTGGTAAATGTTTTAAAATTTTATTATTAATGGCGAACCTAAAGTATTGATTACCATTGATAAGTGTTGTTTTAATAATAATCCTTAACTATAGTTAATTTTTTTTAATAATTAAATTATATAAAAATATTTTTTTTAAAAAAAAACCAAACCTGGCCACCATCCCTAATACAAAAAAAACCCAATCTAGCCACCAGTAGCCCCTCCCCGTCAGCGCCCAGCTCCACCTTCGCTTGTGCGCCGACCTTCAATCCCCCACCTCATCTCTTTCTCCCAATCTCGAACCCCCACCACCCCCATTTCCCTCACCGCTCTACTACTGACTTCAACCCCACCTCAAACCATCTCGAAAACGTGCGTACCTCCTCGTCGACCCCATCCCTAGTTCGCCGACCTAGAAACCCTTAAACCCACTCCAAAACACCAGAAAATACCCAAACTCGTTTAGGATTTTGAATCCAAACCCAGGAAATAAGTTTCAGTTTTCTAGTGGTTTGGGTGGGTTTTAGGGTTTTAGTGGTCGGCTTACTAAGGAGATGGTTCGTTGGGGAAGAGGGTTGGTTTTCGTGGTGGTTTGGGGGTGCGTTTCCCGATTAGGGCTTGGCGCGCGTCGTTGGGGAAATGGGAAAGAGAGGTGGTGGGCGGCGGTGGGGGAAATGAGAAATGAGAAGAAGGTGCGGGGCGTCACCGGCCAGAGGTAGGGAGGCCAGACGTCACCGGCAGTGATGCTGGTGGCTAGGTGAGGGGTTTGGTGATTTTTTTATTTTTTTTTTATTTTTTGGTTTGTAAAAAAATATTTCTAAAATAAATGTAAAAATAAAAACTAACTAAATCTGGTTAAATATCTAGTTATAATTTATCATTAATGTTATAGTTGAATTAATAATTTAGGTTTACCATTGATAGTAAAATTTAAAAATGTTTACCACTTAAAATATTTAAAAGTTGGAATTCAACAAATAGAATTTCCCATTTTTCTTCAATAGTTTTACGAAATCAAAACACAAATATCTCAACATTATTTATCCATCAATTAGCAATACACTTCTTTCTCAAATAAAAAAAAAATTAAAATAAATAAATAAATAAATAAATAAAATTTACAATACACTTGTATTAGAGTAATTAGACTGGTTCGCGTATGGAACATATCATTTAGAGTAATAAATACTTACATACGAGTCAACCTTGATTATAGCAAATAAATATTTTAGCTTAATAGCATGGTACCTATAATTGGTAGGTTCTTACACTTTTACCTCATTTAGTAAAATATTGGTCTTACAATAAAGAATGAAGATATTTCTAATGCCATTAAATATCTCTATTTACAAAGAAGTACGATTATTTGTTCAATCACCAAGTTGAGTACTAAGAAAGTTGAGTACTAAAACAAAAGGCACACATTCTAGATTTTAACGTAAACTTTGAGAAATAAGAAGTGTATGTGTCTCCTTTTAGATTTATTTGACATCTATACTTAAAGATACACAGTAATAATGGAACATATCAACAATTGATTTAATATAGCAATGAACCTATGCTACAGGGTACGTAACCCCCAAAAAATGGTTTGTATGTACTCTATCAAATAATTAAGGGTCGTCGTTTATATTCATGTATTGAGAACCACAAAGTAAAAACCGTACCAATTCAACTAAATTAAAGTTGCTCAATACTGCTACTCTGTAACATAAAATTTAATATATGTACATATTAATTAGATCAAATTTTGGTTTATATTAATGATCTAAAATCTACTTTGTATAAGATTGTGATTAATTATTATAGTATGATGAAATTTAATGTAATACTACGTACGTATTAGTAGGAAATGCATGTGAAACTAATTAAATTGAGCTTCTACATAAATATGTTTAACAAATTAAAGAAGTAGATAATTTACCTAGGATAAGGAGAACCTTTGATGGGTTTTTGACCATATTTTCTCCATGCCCAAAGATCAGAAGGTACCACTTCTCCTGTTTGCCTGCTGTTTGCTGCTAGTGCTGCTGGTGCTGGTATACACACCACTTTCTTAGCTTGTATTTTCCTGTTCATATATATTACGGTTTACGGAGTATCAGTATTTATTTATCTCGATCATTTATTCCGTCCAGTACATTTATCATTTATGGGTCAGCTTAATTTCAATCTTTTTAACTTAAAATCACCGTTTATTTTTGTAAAATTAGTTACATTAAAAAAATTATCATACTAAATTTAATCCATTTTCTTACAAATATATTCTAAAGTTTGAGACATAATGACTTTATTATAATTTGTGTAATTCTCTTTTGGTATTATGGCTATATTTGGGGGTGTTCAGAATTTAATTTAATTTAATTTTATAAAAATGTGTGCATAACTAATTTTGGCAGTGTTAATGTTTACATCTCTGACACCGAACTGATAGTGCACTAGTACATCTGTACATGACTACATGATATGCCACTTGATGATTGTAAATAAAATAGGTTCTACTGTTCTTCAGCTTAGGTCTTTAGTTGGGGAGGCATATAGGTAGCTAAGCTAGTAGACATCGAAAAAAATAAAAAAGCCCAATCATACGGAGTAGATTAGGAGTAAAGTTGATGATACTACCTTCGTTTTTAAAAGCTTTTACAATTAGGACGGTGTTTATCTCTCTTAATAAAAGAAAAAGTCAAAATAAGATGAAGTTAATACATACTTAATTCTTGAATTTCTTAATTAAATTTACTTTTATGTAATTACATACAATTTAACCTAGCAATAAGTACACACAAATTAATATTATGTTAATAACAAGTAATTTTTCTTGAATTAATAAATGAAATCAAAATAATCGATCTAACCTTCTTTTGATACCATGATTTCGCGGAGACGGGATTTGCAACTGCTGTACATCGGCGGTGGTTGTAGAGCCGTCAACAAACACACCCTTAGGGCTGCTACTACAGCTAGCATTATTCATGCTTATCATTTGGTTAGACATGATTCTATAACCCACCGCAGCAGCCGACTTTACAACCTTAGGCGAGGCTGCTGCTGCTGCAGGTAGGAAGGGAAGTTTCCCATCACTATAATTATTACTACTACTGCAGTTATTACCGTTATTATCAATAGCTTTATGACTAGTATTATTACTATCTGGTAAGATCTGAACCATATTATTAGAAGAGAATATATTACATAAACCGTTGTTGATAATACCCGGTGTTTGCGACGGTCCCGTAACTTGTTGCACAAGTCCATCCGCACCACTAGCTAACCTCCCTCCACCTTGACCCCCGTCATCGACTCCCATGTTGTCGAGGAAAGTAGTGGACGACGTTGATATAGCATCGATGTTGCGGAGTAGGGTGTCTGCAGGGAATGAATAGGCATCGTTATTCCTTATTAGCTGGTACGAGTCTTGGTTCGATAAACCAAATTGATCACTTGTGGTTGCGGTTGCTGTTGTGTGGTTGCCTATTATGCCATTACCTCCGCTAGCTCGAACTATATCTGCTAGATCCCCTAAATAGTTGTCCATATTTCGACAAAAATGAATTACTAACACACATAAACTGAAGATGAAGCAAATTAAAGCAAGCTTATAAGCTTAATGTTAAGTAGAAGGAATAATATTAGTAGAAAACAAAAAATGAAGAGAAGAAAAAAAAAGAAGAGAGCAAAGTACTGTAGAGAGAGAAAGGGGAGAGAGAGAAGTGCGCTGACTTTTGGTAAGAAACAGCTCAAATAGTGCACGCAAACCGGGTGATCTAGAGAGAGAAAGAATTTTAAAAAAAGTAAGATAATCAAAAATTAATAATTGGGTTAGATTATCAGTTGGTTGATTTATCACGAAGCATCAAATTGGGTCAAATTTGTGCAATAAGATAAATATTTAAATTTGTTGCTGCTTCCCTCTTGTATCCTATGCAACCTCATCATCAAAGTTCAAAGATGATAATATGAAAAGATCGTTTTAATAATACCTGTGTCATTTTCGGAAAACTTGTGACGGGTAATTAAAGATGCGGCATATGGCCGCATTTCCCGGCTAACGTTTTTCCTTACTAGCTTACCCCTTTTCTTTAAACTTTTTATTGCTTTTTGGCGTTATAGACTCGCTATTAGAGCTGTTGAAAACTGACTTGATTTGAAAACTCGATCGAGAATTACATATCTAATCTAATTGTATATTATTTGGATTAAGAGTTTGTTCTGATTAATTGAATTGAGTTGAATTAAACTGAACTGAACTTAATATTTTATGAGAGAAGGAAATTAAGAACTAAACTAAACAGAATTGAATATTTATGAGAGAAGAAATGAAATTAAGAACTGGATTGAAATGAACTGAACTTATTAGAGCTGAACTGAACTGAAAATAAGCTGAAAGAACAAGCCCTAAGAGAATGATCTAGACCGAAGTTTAACGCGTACGGTTTTTGTTTATTTAGTAGTTACAGACCATACTGTTAGACACCTAAAAATGTCTCCCCAAAACCAATCTCGATGATGATCAACCTCTCACCGCCATTATTGGTCGGGTTGAGTATTTAATATTTAGAGTGCTTAAATACATATTCAAACCCAATACATTTCATAAACCAACCCAATTCCTATCCCATTTGCCTAAACCATAACTTACTTTCCACTTTTCGTCTTCACATAAAAAAACGAGCTAAACTGATTTTGTGGCCCATAATTTTGATCTAAATGTTATTTAGTTGGATAGGATATATCATAAGCCCAATTTCGATTCAAAACGAAGAAAATATGAGCAAAATACTAAACTCGGCCCAAAACCGTCACCCTTTCACTAAAACAGTCATATCTTAAAATCTACAAATGATTTTGATCTGGTTCTAATTGCGTTGGAAAGTAGACTTGATAAGCTTTCCAGTGATATATTATATGCCTTATTCCGAGCTACATATCAAAAGCTATCATACTTTTTAAAACGCATACGCGGCACGGTGCATGCCAACGTGGCTCGGTGCCTTGTACCGTGACACGAAAATTTTCACCGTGTCACGGTGCTTTGCCATGTCTATTCCGCATTTTTTCTCACGCATTTATGAATCAGGATGTAATTTTAGACAAATTATACACCGCGAGACGGTGTGCTTCACCGTGCCACGGTGGACTGTACCGTGTCACGGTGCCCAATTAGGGTTTTTTCTACTGCTCCTATGTCTTCTTGTGTTCCGTGCATCACCCTATTCGTCTCCTCTATAAATACAAACTTGATTTCTGTAGTTTGGGGGCATCAAAAATCATTTTCTCTCTCACACTAAAAATCATTCTCTTCTCCCTCTTTAGCCTAAACACTAGCCTCCCTATTCTTCCATACTACTTCTCCCAAGCACTCCAAGGAATCCATACTTGACCCAAGGTTCCGTATTTAAACTAAGGTGTGAAAAGTATAATTAACTGAGGGTTTGGACCAAATCACTCTACTTTTATTTAATTTAATTTCAATTTGATTTATATTTTTTTATTAAACTTATTACTAAAAATTTATTCATGATGTAATAATTGAAAGGAGCACGAGAAATGTGAGTAATTAATTAATTTAATTACTTATTTTATTTTAATATTGCTAAGTATCATGATTAGGTTTATTATTATTTTAATATTACTTATGGTTAAATTGCTTCCAATATTAATGTTTATTCTATATTTTTTTATGATCACCATATTGCATGTTAAAAGGAATATGTAATTGGAAATAACTCTTAATAAGATAATTTGGAAAACTGGTTTAGGTTCCTTTTTAATCTTGTTATTTAATTAAGTGATCACAATATTTTAGAATTATTGTTGCATTAATATTAAACCAATTTAGCGTAATAATAGTTTCGACCAAATTGAATATTTGTTTGCATGCCTTTGAGATCGCAGAGAATCACTTTTCACTATAAGAATAGAGTAGAGGCCAATATGGGCGAATGAGACTCTATGACTCACTTCGTACCATCATGCCCGATCCTCATTTCGTGATTCCAAGCCATATGGATTTAGTAATCTCATGGATTATGAATGGGGTGTAACCTTCACAGGTCAATCATTGTTGCCTATCTTTAATTTGTCTCTTTATTCGTGGTTGCCTTTTATGATCCATGAACGGTTTATAAGTTCCTTAAAAAACTTGTTGACGGCTCCCTACTTTATTTGTCCCTAATCGTTGTCTCTAATTGTATATGTCTTTTCCCACTTCCTATGAGTGTCAAGTATATTCACCACATACTAACGTAGGCGCACTCTGAACGACGCTGCCTACAATATGGGGACTCCACTGGAAGGATTGTTGATTATTTATTGATTTGAGTGATTGGTATTTAATTAAGATGTGTGGATGAGACTTAAAAGATTCTTGAATCGTATTCATGTAATTAAATTGGCATTTTTGCACATGAATAGACGTTTTAATGTCGTAATTTAGGTTTACCCATAAGAAAGTTAAATAAACTTATTGTGAACGAAGAAAACAGAGGCACCAATCAGATTTCCTGACTATCGTGTCACGATGCTTCATGCTGTGTTGCGGTAGTCCTGAAATCTTTCCAGTGGCTTTTTTTTTTTTTTTTAATCACAGTCAGCTTCCTTCAATATTTCTTAAAAATCGTATGTGTTCTACATGCGTTTTAGCCCCGGGGAATTTAAGCTCTATCAACCCAAAAATGCTCATGGCAATAAGGGTTCATCTGAGTCAGTAAATTCACCCAAACCATGGAGTCGATTTTGATTTCATCACGAACTCGCGGAGCCGCTCATTGGCATCCACTCTCAAGGGAGGTTGCCTTGCTAACGCGTCCAAACTCTTAACTATGACACCCTTTTGACACCAAATAAACTTGACCTTAGGTTGCGAACTCTTCTTTGCATCATTGTGCCTATGTGCCCTATGTGTGATCGTTTTGATCCTAACCTTAACGAGTTTTCTTTATCTATGGCTGTTTATTTTATGGCTAACAAATACCAATGGACCGTGATCACTTAGTAATTAGCGCAAACACTAAAATAAAAATAATAAAAAATTGGAAAAAAAACCTGGAACTGATCACCGGGCCATGGCAAAAATGCCGCGTCACGGCAATCAGCGCCTTTTCACGGTAACTTGTACCGCGACACGCCCAGTTCACCGTGTCACGGTGCCTAGGGAATAAGTTCAGTCAGCTTTTTTTTTAGTCTTTCGTGCTAATTTGGTCCTCGCATTAGTCATTTTGGTTACTGTTCACATGTCTAGCCATATGATCAGACCACCAGTCTTATAACATCACTTAATCACTCACGACTCAAGTATAGTCCACACATTTTCTTTATTTTCCGACTCGGGTCATGTACCATGTTGTTTATGATCATATACTAGGTTCATGCACCCCCTTTGTCGTCATAATAAAAAATGAGTGAAGTTCTTCTCACCTGTTTTCAAATGTCTATTTTTTCCCCTTCCTTTCCTATCTTGAGCAATGAGTCAAATTATAAGTGAATTGTTTTATTTCACAGTACTTGGTCAAGGAGAAGGGGTAGATTTATACGGTTTGAGGTCATTACCGCTATAATAATCTCTGATATCTAAGAGGCGTTTAAAGAAAACTTCGTCATCTTCACATTACTTATCACCTTAAAACTAATTTCAGTTCGTTCAAATGGCCACTAAGGAAGATATTGAGAACGTCAACAAATCCATCGAGGCACTGTCTGCCATGATGTTAACCCTTACCACTAGGGTCACTACCATGGAACAAAACAAGGTCACTGTTGCTACCCTTGACAAATTGAAAAAATAGATGAGCAATATTTATGAGGATTTCACTTGTGTGGAACAACCTCCTACTCCTTTGGATATGAAGGACAGGCTCCCTGAAAAGTTCTCCACTGCTGACATTCAAAAGTTCAAGTCTACTGACAGTCCAATATTTCATTTGAAGGCGTTCTCTGCAACCATGACTCTCAAGGGATTGGATGTAACACTTTTCCCTACGGTGTTCCCTCTCTCCATAGAGCGTGCTTGGCAATAATGGTTTTATTCCCTAGATGCCAAGCATACTGCAACTTGGCAAGATGTCATCGGCAGTTTCATGAATCGTTACAAGTGTAACATTCAAACCATAACTTCTGAACGCGAACTCTCCATTCTCAAACAGATAGAGATCGAATGAAGGCTTCACCGCTTATCTGAATAGGTGGAGTGAAACTGCTGCACTCTTGGTAGATCCTCCCAAAGAAAGAGAGATTGTTCTCCTCTTCATCCAAAATCTGACTCACAAGTATAGGTAACACCTAAAATTTGTTCCACTAAATACTTTTAAAGCTGTACACGACATAGGCATCAATATCGAGGACGAGCTAACAAAGACCTCTAGTAGTAACAATAATAACATTTGGAAAAACAAGAAGAACGACCTTCCTTCTTCCTCATCTTCTAAGCACGAAAATACTATCAACAATATAAGCCAATTTGATCTTAATGAAGTGTTAGCTCTTGATGCGCCATTGCCCAAGAAAATGATAGCTTATACTCCTTTAGGAATAACTTATGATGCGGCCTTTGATCGCCTTTATGGTTAAGGGTTGATCAAACCTATTGGGCAATTTCCAGAGCCAAAAACCTGAAGAAAGGAGCACCAAATAGAATCCCAATGCCCACTGCAAGTTCCATCAAGGAAGGCGCCACACTACCGAGCAACGTTGGAATTTGAAAGACGTTATTCAAGATCTTTTTGATGCCAACAAGCTTCCTTTCCCTTCGGGCAGCAAGAAATGATAAACAACAATGAAGACAGGCGCACAGCGAGTCTATCATGCAAAATTTCATGTTTTTATTTATTTATTTATTTATTTTCATTCCCTCTTTATGTCTAGCATAGGTTTTTCTTCGTAGACTATATTGTGTTTGTTTATTCACCATTTCCATCAATAAAATGAGCTTAATTCCTTTATATCTTGATCATGTATTTCTTATATATAAACAAAAAAATCAATTGTCGAACTAAACACAAGGTACACCAATGATTTAAGGCACCTTTGAAACCCTGTCAT